TATAAATGGATAAATTTTTGTGATAAGGAACTCAAGAGCCTACCTTAAAATTTATTTTTGGCTGTTTTGTTTCTGTAGAGACTTCTCCTTTTGCTTCTTGTTCTCCATCAGATTCACTATGTGATGACTCAGATTCTTCTACTGTACCAAGTGACTTTTCATTAGCCTTACTAGAAAGCAAACTGCCAGTGTGTGGAATGAAATCATCTGGTTTTTCCCATTTGGACTCTGCTCAACAAATTTTTTAACAGTCATGTTATTTACTTACCAACTGTTAACGCTTTCAATCATTTATAATTATTAACCCTTAGGAGGTCAGTGAACTGAGATACAGGTTTTTCCCATTTGGATCCTGCTCAACACATTTAAATAGTCATGGTATTTACTGACCAATTCTAATACTTTTTGTTTTTTGTTTTTTTGGAGACAGGGCCTCACCATGTAGTTTAGGTGGCCTTGAACTTGTGATTCTTCTTCTTCAGCCTCCTGAGTGCTGGGATTATAGTAAGCAAGTGCCACCATGCCTGACTTAATTCAAATATTTTATTATATTATTTACAATTATTAAACCTTAGATCATTGATGAGAGACAGAAACACTTATTGTTACATCTATCAGGTGCATAAATTCAAGATCATTACTAGCTATGCATCTGTACTTAATTGACATTAGATTATTAGTTTGGCCACTTTTTGTTTTTAAATTTATTTTTTGCTTGTTTTTTGGTACCAGGGACCAAATTCAGGACCTTGCACTTGCCAGGCAGGTGCAGTGCCACTGAACTAAATCCCAGGCCCTATTTTCATTTTTTTTTTGCATTTCAGCAATACTGGTAATGAGTGTTTCTCTCAATATGGGCATAACCTACATTGTAATATTTTTTACTGTGACCTCTATAATACTGTATTCACTTCACACTAATACTAGATCAAGAAGATAAACCTCAAACCTCTGACTCTTTTATCTTTCAAAATTGATTTCAATTTACAAACCCAGATTTATTTATTAGCTGTATAAACTATAACTCATATATAAGAATGGGGTGATATTTTAAGGACTCTCACAACTTATGTGACAATAATTTCAAGAAACACAATGAAATTGATGGGATTTCTTGGACTGTATTATCACAAAGATTTCTCTGGGATTTTCACAAAGTGAAATCATATGAAGATCTGAATGAATATAATGTCATTTTTATTAGGGGAATAAACCGCAATTGAATTCTACTGCCATCTAGTGGTTCACCGCGTTTTTAGTAAAATGAAAGCTTGTCTAATTGTCTGGTATACATGTCTGTATTTTTAACTTAATAAATGGGAGACTGAACAATTTAATGTCTGGAGGAGATGGTTTTAAGAGTAAAAGAAATTGCTATTAATAGTTAGATTTTTGCAGGCATAAGCCCAAATCATTCAATATTACAGGCCTGTAATACGTGCAGGTGCTAATGAAAAATACTTTTCTTCATCTAAATTTCACACAAGTAACAAAAAAGAATTTAAGACACAAATAATTTGTTAAGTCCAATGTACCAGGTACTGTTTTGGTAAATTGACTGATGTCTATTTTGTCCACAATCACATCACTGGTAAAAGAAATTGTGCACTGAATGAACTTAGCTCTAATTCTAAAACCATACTGTACTATACTAAAGATTCAGTGTTTAACTAAACTGAAAGAGAAATACTGTTACGTTTAATGCTATGGAGAAGGTTTTGCATATTAAGAATTATTATTATTATTATTTTTTTGGAGACAGGGTCTCACTATGTAGTTGAGACTGACCTGGAACTCACTATGTAGCCCAGGCTGGTCTTGAACTCAAAGCAATCCTCCTGCCTCAGCCTCCCGAGTGCTGAGATTACAGGCATGTGCCACCACGCCCAGTCTGTATATTAAGAATTGAAATAAAAACCCTTCCCCAAGTTATATTAATATTATATAGACAATGTAGCAAATTTAATGGCAGTAAGAAATGAAGCACATTTTTTAAAGTTCTGTGAAATTAGATAAAAATATTAATTAGAAAAATTCAGTTAGTAACAATGCATGTTTCACAAGTATTTATGTAATGGAAACATTTAATTAGTTAAAGTGGAAATATGACAATTTTAGCCACTGCTAAAATAGCTTCAGTTTTGTGTTTTGGTACCAGCAATCGAACTCGGGATCTTACGCTTAAACGAGACAGGAGGCAAAACCACTGAGCTAAATACCCGGCTAGGTTTTTGTTTTGTTTTGTTTTTTGGGGTACTGGGCATCGAACTCAGGCCCTTGTGCTTGCAAAACAGACACAGTAGAACCACTGAGCCAAATCCCCAGCCCATAGTTTTGTTTTTTAAAAAAGGAAAAAAGTTGAAGCTTTGTGGAGGGAGGCCCTTGTGCTTGCAAAACAGACACAGTAGAACCACTGAGCCAAATCCCCAGCCCATAGTTTTGTTTTTTAAAAAAGGAAAAAAGTTGAAGCTTTGCAGGGTATAGCTCAGTGGTAGAACGAGCATGAGGCTCTGGGTTTAATCTCCACAACAACAATAAAAGTTGAATCGGGTGATCTATGAGGTACCTCCCAGAAAATTATATTTATAAAATAATAAAATAAAACCAGTAATTGGTTTAAATGAGTCTCTCAAATCTGCACATGCTATATAAATTCAGAACACCATTACTGCATGCTACAAAACGTGACAAATCTTTGTTTTTTATTGCATTAATGTTTTAACTTACAAAAATAATATATGCTTGCTAAGGAATTGTTTATTTAATGCTAAAATTCTCACATTCAGATGATTCCCCAGCAGATTAATAAGCAATTGCAAGGATACTTCATGGTTAAGATAATCAAAGATAACACTTACCTCCTGTTTCTGTATTATAATAATAGTTATAACCGTCTTCACTTAAACCTTCTACCCAAATGGCCTTCATCTAATAGGAGGAAAAAAAGCAGTAAACTGAAGTTAATAATTATATATTGAATAACTAAGCCACCTATTCCTTCCCACCTGACATCTGGAAGTTGGGGACTGTGACAGCAATATCGGCTGGTTTGTGGTAATCATGTGCCGACATTCAAGTAGAGAACGTTTCACTTTTAAGAGCCAGGAATCCCTTGCCGATGGACAGGGACATCAGGATGGCCAACGGACTATAAAACAATTAATATTTACATGGATGGGGTTTATGAATAGGTATCACTGATTTTATCTTTACCCAGGCCTGTAACAAAAGGATTACAGGAAGAAAGGATAGGGGAGGGAAAGGGCTTACTTGGAAGTAAATCTGCTTACATAAACCCCAGAAGACAATCAGTTTAAAAAATAACGTAAAACACTACCAATACACTTGTTACCTTTTTTAAGTTTCCTTGAAATCCATCAGGTTTCTCCCACTGAGATGCTTAAAGCAAAATATAATGCATTTATAAAAATCTTTTTGCTTAAAACACTCCAAAATATTTAATTTAGCAAAAAATTATACAAATACCAGCTTAACACGTAACTGAAAAAAGGAAAAACAAAAAACCATGTATTCCCGCAGTATTGTGCTGAAGTATACAGGTAAATGCTATAGAACCAAGAAATAACAGAACAAAGGATAAGAAGTAAGGAAAAAAAATGATAAATAACTGGAACTTCTGAGAAATTTTTAGAGCGAGGTAGGGCTTCTGCTTCTTTCAATGAGTTCATTGGAATGTAGCCTATTAAATTTTGCAGGAAAGGAATGGCATTTTTGTTATCTGGGGGCAGAGGAGAGTGAGAGATGGAATAACTTAGAAGAGGAACAAGATAAAGTATGCAAGAATTATGTATTACTGAAAGCAAGAGTATATAAATACAATGGTGAAGGAAACACTAGAAGAGAAAAAAGAAATTAGTTTCTAAGTATATTTGAGAAAGACTTCTCATCCCCAGTACCTCTTTATGGTATCTTCATTGCTGAACTACAATAGGCACTTCAGTGAAGGCTGAGTTCAAATTCTGAGAAATCACTGCTATTTCTATGTAGTCCAAAATTCATTGATTCTAAAGAGCACAGTAATTAAATAATATTGTCATCTCAAGCTTTTTGCATGATTTCTCATCTAATTTCCTATGTTCTTTTTGAGATGATTTTGCTAAGTACACTAGGTTGGCCTCAAATTCACAATCCTCCTGCCTCAGTCTCCAGAGTGCTAGGATTACAGGTGTGTGCCACCACGTCCAACTTCACACCCGACTTTCTTTTTTGTACGAGGATCAAACTCAGGACCTTGCAGTTGTGAGGCAGGCAGTGGCACCACTAAGCTAAATCCCTGGCCCTCCTACTTTCTTGACCGTTCTTTTTTGCTGGCTTTTCTACCCATTTCTTTAACATACATACTACACACTCTCTTTTTTTTCTTGCTCTCCTCTCTGTAGTCTTATATACTTGTCAAAGTTAACATTACCTGTTTGCCACTCTGTTTAGCATTTGTACCTCCAGATTCCAGCAATCAGCTACTGAAAATTGCCACGCTCTGTAGGTACCTCAAACTCAACAGACAAAATTGAATTCATTATTGTCCTGCTTAAACTTGTTTCCAGTATCTCATCCCAGTAAATCATAGCACTGGTCTCCCAGCTTCCCACAATATGGCCCCAATCTATTTTTCCAGCCTCATGCTTTTGTACTGATATCTTCAAAGAACTTTATGTTTTATCCCCACTAGTTAATTTTCTAGGCTTTAAACTTTCAAATCTATTTTATTTTGTGGCTCATCTTGTTCTGTCTGAAGTACTTTATCCTATTAATCTGAAATCTTATTTAATCAAAATACTTACAGAATGTTTCTATTTTGCTAGGCAATAAGATGCTAGGCATATAAATGATAAGATATTGATCTTGGCTTTTTTGAACCCATGGAAAAGCACCACCAATCTTTACAACTTTTTTTGAATTTTGAGATAGAGTATGTTACTAATACAGTCGCCCAGGCTGGCCCTGAAGCTGTGATCCTATCTCAGCCTCTAGAGTAGCTGGGATTAGAAGTGTACACCACTACTCCTGATAAGACATTATTCTGAGATCAGCTCAAAAGCAATCTGTGATAATTTCTCTGATTGAAATAACTACAATTTCTGATTTTTTCAGCTAACATATTAGACTTCCATATAGTACTTTAAAATTCCTCCTTGTAACAAGCTTATTATTGCTGCCACTAAATTTCATGTTTCTGGGGTGTAAGAAAAATGTATTTATTTTCCCTAAACTTTACAGTATTTGGAATAAAAATTCCAAATATATTTAGTTTTTAGGGAACATAAAAAGATATTTTTGATGTTCTTATTGAAAAACATCATGTATCTAACTGAAACTAATATCTGACAATATAAAGGAGAGATTCACTGTCAGTCAAGACAACCTAAAAAAGAAATGTTTCTTGCTGACAACCAGTTTCTTGCTCACAACCGTCAACTGGGTAGAAAATAGAACCTTACAATTCATGAAGTGGATCTGAAAAGCCTTATTTCAATGAAAGTGCTTTATTTTCGCTAGTTCACTTTTTCAGAAGATATTATTGAAAACTATAAAGCTATAGTTTATTTGCAAGGAATTATTAAGACTTTTAAGCATGGCATTGAGCCACAATGAGAAGGGTACTTTTTGAAAAGCATACTTTTCTTCTAAACTTTCGATAAAAATGAAAAGTTACAGTCTTTCTTTGTTTAAAATGTTTCAATATTAAATAAAAACCCTAAACAGAAACTGTTCTGTTCCACTAATGGAACTATTCTCTACTAGTTCTGTGCTTACATGACTTACCTCCTGTGATAAGCTCATAACAGTAAGGGTAACCCGCAGAGGTTCTGCCTTCTACCCCTCTACCCTCTGAAGGATCTTTCTTCTTCTTTTTCTTCTTCTTCTTCTCTTTCTGTTGATTTGATGCAAAGAGAGGTGGGGTAATGCTGGGTACTAGTGATATACTTGGCTCTGAGATTTCTAGAAAAAAGATGAAAGAAAGGTAAAGAAGCTGAAGTAACTTTTTCTCTCAAAATACTTTAATCAAAAGGATAATATTCTTTTGGTGCCTTTATGCGTTATTATAAAAATTATCCTCAAACTATGGTAAACAAACCAGGGTGTAGTGATGCATGTCTTTATGCCATGCACTGTGGAAGGCTGAGGCAGGACTGCAGGTTCAAGCCCAATTTGTGCAACTTAGTGAGACTTTGTCTCAAAATTAAAAATAAAAATTAAGAAAAGGGCTGGGGATGTAGTTCAGTGCAAAGGCCTTTTGTTCAATACTGTGTGTGTATGTGTGTGGTGCACAGAATAAAAAAATGCTAAATTTGGCTACATAAAAATTAGTATTTTCCTGTATGTCAAAAACAAACAAAAACATTTTTTTAAAAAAATCTCCTTTGTTTGTACGGTATATATGCATATATATGCATATGAAAAATATTTATAATGAACACGAGGGTTACCATTTCTAAAAAAGATTTCTCACAAATCACACATTCTAAGTGCATAGTGATACTCTGGCTCACACACAGTTTTTTCCACGATTCTAGTCACAAACTGGAAGAGAACTGAATCAAATTCAGTGGTTAGGTTCAATGTTGATCTTATAGGGAAAATTTGATTTGGTTCTCAACCAATTCATTTTATGACCAGAATTGTGGAAAGAATTAAGTTTGTGACCTGAGGTACCACTGCACAAAGGAAACTCAGAGAATGAATGTTTACCTTCATTGCAATAGAAATGTAAATAAAAATAATTTTTTTATAGATCAATGAGTTCTGAAAAGAATATCGAATCCAATGTTAGTCTGATCTATCAGGTATTTATACGGATGTACTGTACTGCTTTTCTTTTTTTGGTACTAGGGATCGAACTCTGGATCTTGCACTTGCAAGGCAGGTGGTGGTACCCTGGAGATAAAACCTTAGCAAGATGTACTGCGTTTCTAACACTAGTTAGTAATTTTTTTTTCCTAGGGAAAGTGTAAATCAGCCCAAAATTTCTGGAGCACAGTATTACCTACTTCTATTGTATTCACACTTCTATACTATTACAATCTCACTTCTTAAACTGAACCCACACATAAAATAAGTGTGAAAAGATGCCTGCTTCACGAGACATACTGCAGTAGTCTTTGAAACAATGCAAAGTCTAAGCAATCTAACTTTACTAGGAAGAAATTAGTTAAATAAGTCATGGTATACTAACTTTATGTAACTTATTACATTTAGTCACTGTAATAAGCAATTTGTACCATGTTATTTAATTTTAGTAAAAATCCAAGGTCATATAACGAGTGAGGCAATTGTTTGACTCCAAAGTGTGAGCTCCTAACTACTCCACAGCCACTAAAAATGCTATGCTATGTTATTTAAAAGATGTATTTCACTATCGTTGAGGCCTCCCCACAGACCACAGCATAAAATGTGTAATTTTAAAAAAATTCTAAAGATGTCTACAGAAATCTTAGCAGCTAGTGAACTTTCAAAAGCCCGTTTCTTTGTATTGCACTGCTGTACTTTTACTTCATATAATAGAGAAAAGATGAATTTTCAACCACTTCTAAATAGAAACACCTATTTTTCTTCCTCTCAAAATGTTTTGTTTTCATGGAACCACACATCTCTTTTCCCTTCCTTAACTACCAGTATAGTTAATATTAGTACTAATATTAAAATAGTATTTCTAAAGTCAGAACACAAAAAGCCAGGTACTGTGGTATACGTCTGTATATGTCACAGCTACACAGAAGGTGGAGGTAAAAGGATCATTAAGTTTGAGATCAGCCTAGAGAAGATAGTAAGACTCTATGTAAAAATCTGAGGGAAAAGAAAGGGATGGAGATGTAGCTCAGGGCAAAGGCTCTGGGTTCAATCCGGAGACAACCACCAACAAAAAAAGGCTTGAATAGTGTACAGCTGTTCTTACTTAATGAACACAATGCCAATTAACCAGTACTCTACTTAAATTCTTAATTGAAAGCTATTTTTATGAGAGATTAAAAAAAGCATTCCAGCTGGGCTTGGTTGTATAAGCCTGTAATTCCAGTACTCTGGGATGGAGGAAAAGAAGATTACAAATCTGAGCCCAGTCTTGGCAATTTAGCAACTTAGTGAGACACTGTCTCAAATAGGAAATGGAAAAAGTAGCCTGGGCGGCTGGGGATTTAGCTCAGTGGCACAGCACCTGCCTGGCGATCAGAGGTCCTGAGTTTGATCCCGGGTACCAAAAAACAAAAGGTAGGCTGGAGATGTAACTCAGTGCAAAGGTCCTGGGTTCAATCCCTAGCACTGAGAGAAAATACAGTAATGCCATTTCATGTCGATTAACCCAACCACTATGCAAGTTCAAATGAGATCTGCTAAATGCCTGGGTTGAAAACAATGGATTTGTCATGGAAGAAATGCTCCCAGAAGTTTCCCAGATTACAGTCTCAGTTCAATGACAAGGCAGATACAATCAAAATACCTTTTACCTGGAATTTTGTTATCCTTAATCCTCAAAATAATCTGCTTTGTAGCAGTACAGTCATTTGTCCATAAGAGATTACTTCATTATATATTAAAGTATAAAAATACATATTTGTAGTTATGACTACATAGGTAAAATGACTAGTAGTTATACTGCAAGTTTTATTTTTTTTCTTTGCAAAGTTTTTCATTCTTTTTATTGGTTATACAGATGAATAGGTTTCATTTTGGCAGATTCATATATGTACGTAGCATACTTTATTTTCACCTCCTGCAAGGTTTATTTTTCAATCAATAGTTATCTTTCCACTGAATAAGGGGAATACCTGAAACATTCAAGGTACCTCTGAAATTAATCACTCAGCTACAACGGAGCTAGGACTACACAGTCACGAAGGCAGTATGGTCGATGTGAATGAAGGGGTTAAAAGAGGAAGTATTAAAAGCAAAATATAAGCTAAAAAAAAAAAAAAAAAAAAAAAAAAAAAAAAAAAAGCAAAATATAAGTGTATAAGTGGGTCCTATAGTCTAAATAGGGCATAATAAAAGCAGGTTATACCTTGAGTATATAACCTCTTTATGCAAACACTAAAAGCTCACGTGACTTTTGAAATCTGCTGGCTTTTTTACCTGACTCTAAACCAAGCCTTTTCAAATCCTCTTGATATGCTTTCAGGGCAGCTGCTTCCATTGCAGCAAACTCCTTTGATGCCTTTTCTTCTTCTTTTGCCTTGTCCAGGCTTTTCTGTTTAATCTACATAGGATACATATAAAGGTACAGTGAGATAAAGTACTGACATTTATACATAAAAATTTGCAAAGAACTAATCTGTATTACCTCACTGATCCCTCTTTGCCACATTTTCCTTATGATTCTTCCCCCTTTCACGAAATTCAACACTCTTAAAAATGAAAAAAAAAGAGAAAATACAAAGGAGTTAAACACAATAAAATCCAGTAAGCATAATATATGACTAGAACATAAGAAAACAAATTAAAATGATGTGTAGAAAAGATAAAACTGATTTTTTTTGGGGGGCAGTTGGGATTGAACTCGGGTTCTTGTGCTTGCAAAGCAGACACCAGAACCACTGAGCTAGATCCCTGGACCCTTAAAACGGATTAATTGTAATGCAATCTTGTCCTTTTATCCAGTGATGCTAGGAAACTGGACCTCATTTATTATACCTTCTGACTAGATTTTACTTTAGCTCTTAAAACAAGATGACCATATTATGGGAGAAAAATGCAAGGTACTCTGAATGACTAAATTAGGACTTAAAACATGAATGAAGACAATGTTTTAAAGAAACACTTCTCAACATCAACTGTCAAAACCAGTGCATCTCCAAAATTTTATCATTCTATTTGCTAAATTAAAGACAGAGAACAATGATCCTTAATGCCTCAAAATTTTAAGAAATATACATTTAAAAATTGCTCCTATATTATAAACAATAAAATGATAAAAAAGAAAAGGAAAAAATGATAACCCAGGGCTGGGGATTTAGCTCAGTGGTTCTGGCACCTGCCTCACAGGCACAAGGATCTGAGTTTGATTCCCCCATACCAAAAAGAAAAAAAAAAAGATAACCTACGTGGAGTGGTGGTGTTAACTGGGATGGATGGGTATAAGAATGGGTACGTGAACATTACTATTTAAATAACCAGAAATTCCCCCTAAATCACAAATGTCTGGTATTAAGTGGTAGTAAGACATGAAAGAGCTCTGCAAAATTAAGTTGTATTACTCAATTCTTGTATGACATAGTATCTGAGTTAGTCTAGAATACTATTGTGAATGCCTCTTTAAAGTGTGACTTTGTAAAGCAGTCATCTTTTTCTTATACATTGGGTTTCCTACTTGATTACAGAACTCAAAGAATACAATATGTCTGGTATTAAGTGGTAGTAAGACATGAAAGAGCTCTGCAAAATTAAGTTGTATTACTCAATTCTTGTATGACATAGTATCTGAGTTAGTCTAGAATACTATTGTGAATGCCTCTTTAAAGTGTGACTTTGTAAAGCAGTCATCTTTTTCTTATACATTGGGTTTCCTACTTGATTACAGAACTCAAAGAATACAATATTATAAGACCATTCAAAATGAAATTAATGTTGTTTCTAATGGTTAAATCAGTGTGTGTTAATTCAAGGAGATAAAGGCAGTGTACCGGAGGGGATTATTTACTCTACTTAACTCATACAATTCCTGCTACTGTTGGGTACCTCGAAAGAAGAGGATTTTCAGTGATTTGTGTGGTTTTTAAAACTCCTAGCATTTATTTGTAAGGACAGCTGAACTCAGATAAAATAAAGAACTTAAAAACAAAAGTCTCAAACCGCATGCATTTTTAAAGTAAAAGTCTATGAAAGGAATACAGCATTGTTAACGATGCGACTATTACTCTTTGGTCCATTCAACTCTGCCATGTAAAAAGGAAACTCTGGTTTATTATGTAGCGCATACGCAGTACTGTTAACATATGAAGAGGAAAATCGGTGCTGTGCTTTTTGCCCTATATCTTCAAAGGTAGATCTAGACAAAAATACACATATATTCAATTATCTCTACAGCAGGAAACACAAGAAAAAGTACCACAGCTTTTTTACATTACAAGGGCTTTTCCATTTTTACTTTTCTTTGCACAGTACAGTATGTGACAGATCTACATACACTCCCAGTATACTGCAATGTGTTTGATAAACACAGGGATGAGAATATCTACTAGTTGGGTCACTTCCAGAAAGGGCATAGAAATAATCTGGCTTCATAATCAAGTACAGCTTAATGAAAAGGAAGAAGGCTCATAACTTCTTAAAGGGAATAAATAATACGACAATAAAAATCTTTTGATGTTTTGAAGAATCAAGAGTAATGTATATGAACGAAAGTGCTTTGATCTGAACCTAGATGAGAAAGCAGCGGTCCACATAAGCACAACATTATGAGAATCTCTGAGAGTGGAATCAGCTTACAGGCCTATTATCTGCTATCCAGCACTTGCAGTAATCACAGAATTTCTTTGGTTGAGACTTCCAGAAGTCGGCCCTGAAAAAGGGAAAAGAAGTCTAAGCTTCTTCAAAATGAAGGTAAAATTCTGCACACTTTTGTTTCATATACTGTACAAGCTTCGGCTACTGAGTCTTGTTAGCTCGGTTTCATCATTTCTGTAGAGCAGGCAAGTCGACTGAAGTTTTGCTCCTAGTAGAGTAGAAAAGGTCAGCATGGGATTGATTACAAGCTGATTCAAAAAAAACACCTAAAAATTTTCACACTTTGCTACAGTAGGAAGAAACGAGGAACGTCTGAAGAGAAAAATATCCTTTGTGATGCGGGTGGGGTGCTGAAACGGAGGCCGGCGAAAAACTCAAAGTGCTCTTAAATTTACTTTCATCAAAAGAACAGAACCCAACACTACGTTGGGGGAAAGACTGTGACCCTTCCAAGACTATCAGTTAATACAAGTCGTTCTTGAGGCAAGGGACAAGAATTGCAAAGGCCAAAAGACCTCGCCGACCAAATGAAAATCATTACGTTATGCACAGATGGCCGAATGAAGTGGACAGGGGCGGCAGCAGGGGCCACAGCCCAACACCAAAGCTTCATAATAGCCCAAAGTTTAAGCGTTTTCCGAACCGACAAGGACTCCCGCCACCCTCGATCACTCGTAGAGAAGGCGCCGCATCTTCCCCCTCTCCATCCCACTCGTCCCATCCGCCGCCTCAACCGGCTGCAGCCTCCAGCTTAGACTCCAGAAAGCCGGCTTCGCACTTCAGGGCCGGACTCGAGCGAGTTAAGAGCAAGTCCGCCAAGCCTCGCGCCGAAGGGCCGGAGGAGGGGGTGGGAAGCCCTGGGGAGAGAGAGGGCGTCCCGGAGAAACAACACTGTGTTGTTTAGGGCCTGAAACCCAACTCACATGACTGCGTCAGCCGCTCCGCGCGTCAAGGGTACAGCTCACTCTAGCTTTTTCCAAGCCACAGGAGAAGCACCCGGCCCGGCGCGCGGCCCACCCAAAACTCCGCTGACCGTGGACGCCTCCCTTGAGCCCTGGGACCAGCGTTCCACGGCTTCCCACTACGGGTGCCCAGAAGACTCAGGGTTTGAAATCTCCTCCTCTCCCCTCCCCCTAAAGGGGCGGTACTAGACTTCTGGGGGTGGGGTCGGTATAAAGGGGTTGAGGTCACCGAGAAGGGAGAAAGCGCGACGGGACCTGAGCCGGAGGGCAGGACCCTCAATCCCCCGCGCCAGCCCGCCTTCCTCTCTGTCTTCCCCTTGGATCCAGAAGCACCCGTCTCCTAGGCTCGCTGGCTCATGGCCGAGGAGCTCGCGCGCCGCCTCCGTCCCGAACGCAAACAGCTGTTCCCAGTAGACGTCGCCGCCCAGTGCTTTGCCAACTAGTCCTCACGCACTCGGAGCAGCGGAGCCACCCGGACCCGCGGGCCGTTGTCCGAGTTAAAAGGGGAAATCGCTGGTCCTGGGGCTCCGCGCGTCTCGCGACTTGGCCGCAGAACTTTCTTGCTAGGCGGCGCGGCCCCGCCTAGTAGACGTCGGTGCTTTGCCAACTAGTCCTCACGCACTCGGAGCAGCGGAGCCACCCGGACCCGCGGGCCGTTGTCCGAGTTAAAAGGGGAAATCGCTGGTCCTGGGGCTCCGCGCGTCTCGCGACTTGGGACTTGGCC